CTGAGCGATATGGCTGGGTGTCGCAAACAGGGGCGCTCATGCATCTACTCATTATTCTTGTAACTTCAGTCTATGAAAATGTGTTACCTTTCGCTTAAATCTGCTCTCAATATTCTAATGATCATTTTGCTGTTTTATCCAAATGGGTAACCAAAACCGGCGCACGAAATTGCATGGTTAATGGTTGTAAAACCGAACCGGTACTTCCTTTGATTCATCAGGGTAATGATGCGCTACTTTCCAGGAAAACAGTATCCTCTGCGATTTTAGTTGGGCAATGAAGGGCCATCCAGTGAACCTCACAGCAACCGCCGCCTACACCCCGAATCTCTCACATCCAACAACAACGCCAAGGACAAGTTCTGTGACAGCCTTCGAACACTGTTGATGAAGTAGCCAATAGGGATTTACCATAACTGGGGACTGAAACAATTGAGCTAGCCCGCAGGAAGCAGCCACAAAGCACGTCTTAGAAAAGTCTGATTTGGATCAGCGTTGCCAGAATGGTGGGTGGCAGACTACTCAGCTTCGCCGCTTGTAATCGACTGTTTATCGCCAACACGCAGTGTCAACATCCCCAAAGGCATCTTCTAATGCGGTGCTCCAACGACGGACACACTATCACGATCCATTTCCTCGGTTGAGGACTGTCGACCCTATTGCGGTGCTGAATGCAGGAACAACAAGGGACCTGATCACGTGCTTGTTCGCGTGAAGTCTAACTCGCACAAAGATCGTATACTCAAAAACCCTAAATTTATTTTCAATAGAGAGCACTGAGAAAGGCCAAGCACTGATGGGTATGATAACTGCATAATTGTTGCACGATCCACGCGATACGCAAGGAAGCACAGAGTTCGGTTGAAGCTCCGTGGACCAAGCTGAATCCGTCGGCACAAAAAGCTGCCCTACACGACCTCCTAAAGCCTCAATATAGTAGGGGGTGGGTGTCTAGGGTTGCGGCTGGTCACCCATCCATTGCATCTCGCGAAATGCTCCCATACGACCAAGCGTCTCGAATAGCCTCTGCTGAGGAAGCCATACTCACTGCCTTCTCGTGTTGGAGGTGTTTCCCACCAAAGTGAGAGGGCGAAAAGCCGAGATTCGGGCATATAACCGGGTTGGCGGACCACTGAGTGTTCACCTAGGGAAGTTGGCCAAAACTCCTGATTCCAAACCAACCATGAGGAGACGTACAAACCACACACATACAACTTCCTGATTGTGGCAGTGGTCACCGGCTCGATTGGGCATCGAAGTGAATTGGACAACTTGGACGCCTGACCCCGTCCAAAGTGCATGATCCGATGAACTGGACACCCGCACCCAATGGATTACGGTTTTCACAAACCGCCCCGCTGTCTTGCGGGTGAGGCTTTGACTAGCCGAAGGCTCCGATTGTGGATTCCTCGTGAAAATTCACCTGCCTTGGCCTCGGCAACCTGGCGATATTCCACCCACATGCTGATCATGGAACGTTTTTCTTTTTCATAAAGATTATTATACTATGATTTGTTTGGCACATAGTCTGGATTGAGACGTGTGTGAAAATTTAAGGAAAAACACGAACTAGGCGTTGGGTTACGTCGCCTAAAGGATTGCATATCGAACCACACCATTCAGTTAGCTAATGCGGACAGAGGCACACCTAACCCAACTCAACCCTTTGCTTACCGCGATTTCAGACGACAGGCAACACGATCTGCCAGAAGCGATAGCTGTCAATCATAGAATGAAATGGCAACAAAAATGGAGACAGCAGGCAACCTGGGCAACATGTCGATCCCCTTACAACTCATACAATCAGCATCAAGGAACAAGTCACCCAGCTCGCCCTGCGCAGCGCCTCCCGCGAGCTCATTTCCGAGGAAAATTTTCGCAGTGGATGAATACTTCAATCTTCTTCTCGATCGTCCTCTAATCCAAACTCTGTATGCCTTCTCGTCGACACCATTGCGCCTCGCCATCAGTAGGAGAAATTTCACATACCGTTCACCATCTCAAGCCACGGAAGTCTCCCAGTGAGGACGGGTTACCCGACGAATTCTACGCAAAGTGTTCTCCAGACATTTGATGCACGCAACTTGGGAAACTGAAACTTGCACAACAGACTGGATAACATCGCGTCTACTACCTTTCCTAAAAAGCGGGACAAATTTGTGCGAAAACCACAAAGACATCAGTTTACTTGACGTGGCACCCAAAGTTTTTGCACAACTTTTGCTAACCGCTTAGCTGAAACAAAACTCGCGTACGCCCTAATCAGAAGGGATCCCGCCCCGGTGTGAGCTGCCCTGACCAAATATTCACCTTACGACATCTCTTCGAATATCGCCACATGTTTCCACAACCCACAACAGCCTGATTCTGAGACTTTCGTGAGGCAATCGATTCCGTAGGTCGTGAATTCTCTTGAACATAGTACTGCTTGATGGTGCCTCGATTAAACTTACCAACCTCATGGGATTCTACCATTCCAATATGAGGTCTCGAATCCGTATCTACGGTGAGTCAAGCGTGTTCCAGATCTACAGTATGATAGGAGTGCCCATTGTCCCCTACGTTGTTCAAATTCATCGCTGACTGAATAATGGATCGTTCCATGGAAGGATACCAGGGAGTCCAGATCTCTTCGAACATCCGGCTCACCAACTTAGAATTCACTGATGGAATCACCATGTTTGGTGTGGATATGTCCAAAATCTAAGTAATTGACCTAGAGGTGAACACATCCGAAGCCAAAATGTTTGCAACACTCACGATTTATCCCGAGGATACTTTGCAACTGAACGACGTTCCGATGGAGTCCGTCAAAAGCTTTAACTACCCGGGTTCAACCCTGTTGAACAACACTTAAGCTGAAGATGAGGTACAACTGCGCTCTGATGCCGCCAGAAGGGCAGTTCTACGACCGACTAATTCCTCAATGCGTAGAAACGAAATCAGTCTTAAGACAAAAATACGAGTTTCCTCCGCAACAGTCCGTTTCTCATACGAAACTACTTACTTTACTACCGCTGGTTCCTTGGAAAGGATAAGCCGGCTCCATGATCATGATAATTAAGTTACTTGGGAGTTTGGTACAACGGACTTCCCCAGCGTCACTCGGCGTCTCTTTATTTTGAGTGTACACCTCTAGCCTTTGCACAACCAAATGCGAACTGCAGGGTGACAGAAAGTAATCCCTCACCTAGGAAGCGAGTGGGTCAATGACTTTAGTTTTAAAAAGCCAGTTACATCGACCTTTGTCAGAACACCGTCATTGGGTTTGTGCGGCTTTTAAACAGGAGCCAGGCGACCAGCCTGAAACTCACCACACCCTGGTAGTGCCACCGCTGTTTGTTCGCGACTGCTTATTTGTTGCGGTACACCACAACTTATTCACAGCTAACCTTCGGTGAAGGTATCCCCTATCCACAACCCGGGGATGTGCTTGATAGCATTCAGCTCTGCTTAACTCGAGGGTATCAAGGGTCCTTTCCTAACTCCATTCCAAAATTAAATCTCGCTTCTGAGAAAAATACACACACTGTCCTCTAAACTTTGGGCCACTGAAGCAGTCTCTTTCCTGGACAGCGAATCAGCAGTTATTTCCATATTCAAAAAGGACCAGAACAACGATTGCACCAGACACAGTGAGATACGCTCGACTTTAGTAGTAACACTCAAGTATTTGTAATGATTCCTATTTCCTAGATCAGACAAAACGCGTAAAACGTTGGCACCAGAGGATCAGGTCTGGCTATGCACCTTACTTGACTTTTACGCAGCTACCTTCTTCTGCATGATGAGTCGGCCTTATAGATACTCCAGATGGCCGCTGCCAGTCCTGGCTCCACCGTAAAAGCCATGGAAAGTTTGAGTTCCTAAATCTTTAATATTCAACGTGTAAGTGCTGAACCACAGTGGCAGTATGAGGCCGGATATAACGAGGGGGAAGGCACTGTTTAACAAGTTCTGTATCCGAACGACACAGAACAAAACAGAGCCATGGTACTTGTCTTTGCGGTAATATTTGCAGGAATTGATCAATGCTGCAGCAAGACGGTTCTAGGTAGTTTTTACTATTT